CCTCAACTAGTGACAGAGAAAGGCACCACATGCGACGGCCCTCTTCTTTCTGCTCCTCCTGCTCCTCCGTCACCTCTATCATCATCATCATCATCATCATCATCATCATCATCATCATCATCATCATCATCATCATCATCATCATCATCATCATCATCATCAGTATCAGTATCAGTATCAGTATCAGTATCAGTATCAGTATCAGTATCAGTATCAGTATCATCATCATCATCATCATCATTATCATCCGCCACCATCGCCATCACCTTAACCATCACGATCACCATGACCATCACCACGACCATCACCATCACCACCACCATCATCCATCACCATCACCATCACCATCACCACCATCACCATCACCATCACCATCACCATCACCATCACCATCATCATCATCATCATCATCATCATCATCATCATCATCATCATCATCATCATCATCATCATCATCACCACCACCATTTTCATCATCAGCATCATCATCTTCATCCCCATGATCATCCTCATCCTAACCACCACCGTCATCAACACCATCATCACCGCCCTCATCCTCGCCATCCTCTCCTTCCCTCCCTCGTCCCTTCTCCCTTCTCTCCATCTCCTTCTCACTCCCTCCCCCCTCCCTCCTCCTGCCTCCTTCCCCCTCCCCCCCTGGTGCGAGGGCCCCGCTTGGGAGCGCAATGGAAGACGGCATGGGAGGAGGAAGAGTTGGGAGGGGACGAGGGGTGAGAGGGAGGGGAGGGGGGGGGGGGGGGGGGGGGGGGGGGGGGGGGGGGGGGGGAGGGGAAGGGGGGGGGGAGGGGGGGTGGAGGGGAGGGTGAGAGGGAGGGGAGGGGGGAGGGGGGGGAGGAGTGGTGAGATTGGAAGAGGGAAAAGGGGAACGGGGGCGGAGAAGGAGGCAGAACGGAGGCCGCAGTGGGGGAGCGGTGTGGGCGGAGAGGGACGAGATGAGATGAGATCAGTCGCGAAGCGAGCCAACATGAACTAACGACTCCGACCCGCCTTCCCGGCCGCGCTGAATGCGTTGGGCCAGAGGTCCCGTGCGATCCTGTCGAAATATTGTCGTCTTGTTTTGGCCACTAGGGAGGTCGAGGGCGAGCGCTGATCGGCCAGCCTCCTGGGGTTAGACAACTAGAAGAACCCCCCACAAGCTTTGCGGAACCATAGGGCCAACGACTTGCCATAAACCATCTCATGGGACCGGTGGACTCATACCCCAGCGAGTCGAACACGCTGGCCCTGAAATGCCCTGAGAGTATGGTCGGTCGCCCGTAGAAGAGGGAAACGACCAGAAACACGCCAAATGACTTGCGGGCCTCGCTGCACGAGCCGTGACAACGAGAGCACTTCTCCAGAAACACAGAAACACGCCAAATGACTTGCGGGCCTCGCTGCACGAGCCGTGACAACGAGAGCACTTCTCCAGAAACACAAGACGCAATGTCTATAGCTCAAAAGAGCGGCCACCTTCGGAACAGGAGGATGGCAACAGCGCGAGCAGCAGGGCGCCAGATCACTTTCTCATCCGCTCCCTGCCAGCTCCCAGAGACGCCCTCAATAACCCTTCCTTAGTCACGCGTGCTCCGGCCTCGGTCCTAAACGCTACGGCCCTTTGCTCGGCTGGAACGCTGGAAAACTTGGCTGCTAACCCATCCAGGTGTTCCGCAAAAATGTTCCCACCAGTTAAGTCGCCAGGAAATTCCTTGGCATAAACCGCTTCAGCCTAGGTTCTCAAGAACGCATGTGTCGCCACGGTGACGGCCCGTCGCCGGGATGGCATCGTTCAGCGTTCTCCACATATCAGCATTGGGGCCATGAGGAGCCTCGAAAACCCTACACCAAAAGCCTCTGGAGACTTCCTTGATCGGTGATGTACACCACCAGGCCTCTAGTGCTCCACAGCCACCACGACACAGGACAGCTTTCCTCTGGGAGCGGTCTGGTGCCGACCAGGGAGAGGGCCACAAACAGAACGCTGCAGTGGGGTATCGGCAGAGGGGCTGGTGGCGACACCCGCTCCGACGCGACGCAACCTCGGATAGTGGGCGTCGCTCCTTCCCCCCGGACGCGTCTCCCCAAACGAGGACGGACAATTCGAGAGAGCCGATGCCAAAGTGAGCGCTGTAGAACTCATTGTTCGGGTGACTCTGAATCCAGCGCTCGAGAGAAGACGGAAGGTCCACCCCAAGCAGATGGCAGGGAATAAAACCACGCAGCCATTACCATTCCATGCTCTCAGCCCTAGCCACCGCTCTGAGGGTAAGGCCTGCGGAAGCGCGAAAAACAGGCTGACTGTGATCATTACGCTCGCATTGTCAGAATCGGGGCTTCGGCGTCTCAGGGCCGCCTCGGCAGTTCTTACATTCGGCTGGAATGGCATATCCCATGTCGTGCTCGCTGGCGGAAAGCTTTGCACCACATACTGCAATCGTGAGCATCTATTTTGCCACATTGCGGCCGTGAGCCGCACCTGCTCAAGTTGGTACTAACACAAAAAACATGCGAAGAAACATTGCCCACGCCATGCTCCACGACGCTGCCACAGAAACCCTTGGCGGCCTCCTGCCACTGGCGCAGCTTGAGCGTCTCCGTGACGTGCCGCCATCGAACTTCCAACAATGCCGCACACCTCCATCATTCGGGGGAGCGTTCCACTGTGCGGCCCACTGCAGATCCCACCTTGCGCCCGTCATGCAGTGGACAAGGGCGGGGAGAAACCCTCGGACATGGCGAGCGCGATGCTGAGGCTCGAGCCACCGAGCTGCCTCGCGGCCTCGTCCCCACACCTTGCTTTCAGCATCAGGCACCGTAGGGAATTCGATCCAACACCTGAACCACTGCTCGATGCGTTGCCTCGGGAGCGCATAGCCTGGATCAGCACCTGGCGCTCTCAAGTCCAGCAATGTGGTGAGGCAGTGGCCACGTCCGTGGTCAGACACTCCTCCCAGCCGTCAAAGAAGCTGCACCAAGGAGGATGCTGGTCAGCCGTTTACTTGGTGGCCGTACCGAACTTCCACCAGTGGCCCCGCAAGCTCTACCTTCTTCAATATCCGAAACCTACGCGATGCCACCGCGAACCTCTTGAGGATCACGTGCTTCTTCTTCTTCGTGACCCCCATGCGCTGGGTGTTCGAACTTTGTCACTGGAGTGAGCACTGAAACCTGCTTTGGCTCGAACCGAAGCCCAATGGACATGAGGCACAACAAAGGCAGGAACACCCGAAAGGGAATGAGGAGTGGTGGGAGTTCCACCACGCGGTAGTATGCTGGCACTCGCTGGGGGAGGGTCTCAACACTTTCATTCGCGGGTTCGCTCGCCTGGACGTGAACTATGCCGTTCGAGTTCGTAGGAGCCAGAAGACAAGTCCAAGTCCTTGAAATTCAACCATACGAATCCTTGAACTTGTTCTACGGCTTGATACTTATGTGCATGGCGGTAAGGCGAGAGCCACATTTTGAAAAGGAATCTCCCTCCATCCTCGAAACTGCTGCAGACTTTTTAGACGGGCTGCACTCGATCGGAAGACACATCTTGAAAATCAGCTGGCCTCAATCCTCAAACCTGTAGCAAGCTTTTAAACCGAACGTGCGCGGCGTTAGTGCGAGAGCCACAGACCCGCCCTCTATCCTTGAAGCTAAAAACGATGGTGCGCGGCGCCAAAGCGAAAGCGAACACCACATCATGTTGAAAACGGGTCGCCATACATGCGTGGAACAGCTGCGCACTTTTGAAACACATGCGCGCGGCGCTGAGGCGAATCACATGTTGAACAAGCACCCGCTATCCATCCATGAAGCTGTTGTTTTTTTTTAAGACGAATGTGCAAAGCGCTAGAACGAGAACCATCTTTTGAAAAGGACCCACCGTCCATCCGTGAAACTGTTGCAGATTTCAGGCTTCAAGGTCAGAAATGGTGAGGACATCTCAGGCGAAACGCACAGCCCGTCCGGCCAACTCGCCTGGGGGTGCGACAAGGGGGAGGAGGAGAGGATGGGATAGAGGAGAAGCAGCGGGGAGGGAGACGGACGATGGATGACGAGGACTGCTGGGACCGGGAGTAGAGGAAAAACAAACGGCATAAACATAAACGTTCGACGGTCCGCGCGGATCTCCTGGATCTGCGCTGGACCTCCTGGGCGCGCGGAGCGCGCCCGGGGCGGCGCCGGAGGCGCCGCCAGGGTGGTCCAGCGCAGATCCAAGCAATCCGCGCGGGCCGTCGAAAACTCATGTTGATGCCGTTTCTTCTTTTTCTAGGGGGAAAACAAACCTCCCTCGCTTTTGACCACCCTCGCTTCCAAGAGATACCAAACGATGCCAAATTGCAGCCTGTACTGATCAGACCGCTTGACGAGGAGGCGCGTGGTATGGCTTGGTTTTGCCTGGAAGCGAAAGCGGGGTAGGTAATTCACGCTCTGATTTTCGGAGGAAAGAGGGCGCGGACGATGGATGACGAAGACTGCTGGGACTGGGAGTAGAGGAACAACGAGCAGCATAAACATGAACGTTCGACGGTCCGCGCGGGCCGTCGAAAACTCGTGTTTCTGTCGTTTCTTCTTCTTCGGGCGAGGAGGAAGGAGGGCGCGAGGGGAGGGAGGAGGGAGGAGTCGGCCGCGGGAGGAGCTGGGCCCCGCCATCGCTCGGACGTCCATCCCCTCGTGCCTCTTTCGGCCTCGTGCGGGTACTTGTTGTTCTTAGGGTTCCCCATCGTGCTCCTCGATGGTTCCAGCTTAGGAACAGTTCACACGTCCGAGCGATGCCACGGGTTCGGTCGGGCATGCCCCCTTACAGGCGGATTTTGGACGGAAGATCAAACATACCTCAAACATGTATCAACAGTGTTCAAAAATTGTATAAACATGGTCGCCAAACTATTTTCTGACTATTTTTGAACATTCTCCCTGTAGAGGGACAGGCCCGACTTGATGCCAAGGGCGGGTGTCTCCTCGAAGACGCTGCGGCGCGGCCCGGTGTGGTCGGTGGCCCAGTTGTGGACGTTCCAGGCGCCCAGCTCCTCCTGGGTGAAGCGCAGGGTGCGGTACCGCCGGCAGGCCTCCACGAAGAAGCTCGACAGGGACCCCATCGCCCTGGCAAGGACGACGACGAGCCCAGATCAGGAGGCAACTGCTGGGAGGTCTTCGTCGGCAGGATGAAGGAGGATTACGCCCCATTGGGGGGCCGTGACGCCAAATTGGGCCGCGGATGAAGCGGGATTTGGACGGATTGAGCGGGATTGAAAACGGATTCGGCGGGATAAAGCCGGATGTCGGACCTGGGCAAACCAGAATTTGACCTCCCAAGAATTGAATCCGAACCCAGATCCCCCTCGAGTCGTGACAAAAATCACGACGGCAAATGTTCCTCGATGTTCGGCCCCTGGCTTACTGACAGGGCCTCGGGACCGACAACAAAGACGACCCGGGCCCCCCCCAAAAAACGGTCCCGGGGAATGGGTCGAGACCTCTGGAATCGACAATCCGAAAAAATCATGACGTCTGTGGTTTGGGAGGAGGGAAGGGAAGGACGCACGAGGAGGAGGGGGGGAGAAACGAGGAGGAAGAGGAGGAGGAGACGGAGGAGGAGGAGGAGGAGGGGGAGGAACAGGAGGAGGAGGAGGAGGAGGAGGAGGAAGAGGAGGAGGAAGAGTGAAGAAGAGGAGGACACGGGCAAGAGGAGGAGGAGGAGCGGGAGTAAGATTCTCATGAAAGAAAAACAAACAGTTTCATGCATACGAACTTTCGAAGCTCCACGCAGATTTCTTGGATCTGCGCCGGGCCCCCCTGGCGGCGCCTTCAGCGCCGCCCGCGGTGCGCTCCGCGCGCCGGTGAGGTGGGGGGTCCTGCGCCGATCCAAAAAATCTGCACGCCGAGCCCCGAAAGTGTACAGTCATCGAGCTACCATGAGGAACGCACAACAGGGCTGAACCTAAACGGTATTTCTCGTTTTCGTTTTGTTTTCGTTTTCCCTCGTTTTGTCTTCAATCCACCTCTACCGCAAAACGAAGTCGAAACGAAAACGGCCGACGAAATCGCCAAAACACCGTTTAGGTCCAGCCCTGACGCACAATGAGGAACGAACAAGCTCTTCTGGCCACGGTAATCCCAGGCCGCAAGCAAGTTCCATGGCATGAATCTCGGGAGCGGCCCGAAAACGGGAGCCCCTCCCGAGTCCAAAGAGCGGTCCTCATTTCAGCGCCTGGACCGCATGCTTGTGCCGCCGTCTGTTCCTCGATGTATGCTGGGAAGGGCAGGTCGTCGAATCTCACTTGGCGGCCATACAGCGGAGGCCAGTCCACAAGAAGCCTTCCACAAGAAACCCAACCCTGAGACCCCAGGGCGTCCACTGATTTTGGGTGCGGGAACGTCACGCTCTCCACGGCGACACCGTCGGAACCCAAGACCCCCAGGGCACCCTGGAGGCCAGCAGGGTGTTTCTTGGCATGGGCCCCCACTGTACTCGGGAGCGGCCAAGAGGGGGGCGTCCAAGAGGGGGGGGTGCAAATCATGACCGGCGGCATGTGCGCGGCCCAGCGGGGGGCCAGGGACGTAACGGAATGAGAAGGGGCGCCATGAAATCTGGGGAAATGTCATGGCCCACGCTATGATGTCCCCCCCCCTATAGTCATCACCCCCCTCTTTTCCGCCCCCGATGTACGCGCCGCAGCAGCAGCAGCAGCCGCTCAGGCACAGTTTTTTTTTTGTTTGTTGCCTGGGGCCACTGCTTGTTTTTTGTTTATCGTTTATAGTCGAAGAATCCGCCACCCCGCACGGGGTAATGAGTGAAAGCGACAGCAAAATAGATGAACTCAATGATCGTCATACAAGGGCACAGGGCAGATGCGCGCTGGCCGCCGCGATGCCCGCACGCCGACGCCTGGCGGGGCCGCCTGTGGCCTGGCCCGCGCCTCGAGGGCGGAGCCCCCGACCGAGGCTGGACGGCTCTCTGACTGCCTGCCACGCTGAAGGGGCCCCAGGACACACAGATAAATACACACAAATTAAAAGATTCCCCATTTTTTTTTTTTTTTTTTTTTTTTTTTTTATTATTATTATTTTTTTTATAAAAAAATATGTTCTGGGTTTTTGTCTTCCCCACCACTTCCCATATTTTCCTGGGGATCGACGGTTAACTGTGTCTGTGTGTGTTTTTTCCCCTCCTGACACACCACCCCAGCCCGACTCGGGGATCTTCTGACCCGGGTCGATCCAGACCTGGGTCAGCGAGAAACCAAAAACTGCAATGCAGGAAGCAAAAACTGCAACGCAGGTCTTCGCAAACCCGGGTCAGCCAATAGGCGCGGCCGCCTCGCGGCCACGAGCGGCTCGCTAACCCGGGTCAGCCAGAGGGGGTCTTCGCAGGATCCTGCAGGATCCGGCGCCCTGGCTGACCCCCGTCTGCACTGACCCCCGTCTCGAGGCTCCCGACCGACCCGAAGGCCCGACTTTCAGGTGGGGGGGGGGCAGCGGGCTCCATGTGCCTTTTTTCCGCGGCCCCCGACACCCCCCTGGCTGGAAAGGGAGGGCAGATCGGGGCCTTCCGGGGTGGGCTGGGGTGGCCTGGTGGGCGGAGAGGCTGGCTCCAGGGCAAACGGAACACGCAGAACGCTGGCATCTCTGGCGGGGCGCATCCCTCTGCTGCCGCCGGCCTCCGCCCGCCTCTCCTCCCGCGGGCCAAGAGCACCGCCCTCGCTCCACCTCCGCGGGCTTCCGCCGGCTTTCCGCCACCCTCCGCCCAGCATCAGAGGCCAGCTGTGATCAATCTCTCGAAGGCGAAGCCCCTTCTTTGTTGTGCAGAGCCAACGGGGGGGGGGGGGCTGAGGAGAGGAAACGTCGAACTGGAAGCGGCGATGGATCGCCGATCGCCGATCGATCGGCGATGGGCCCCTGGTGGCGAAGCCTCATGTTCCTGGGCGGGGCGGGGCCACCTGACCCCGTCGGGGATGCATTGGCGATCGGGGGTCGATGCGTCCCCCCCTGAACCTGTCTCTCCTGAACGTTGCCCCTGACTTCTGGAGCGCCCTCGATTGAGCAGCGACCGGCCGTCCTGGCTTTCCTTCAGGCCTACCACGAAATTTTCCCAAAACCACAAAATGTTCGAATAACAAAACCAGGTTCTTAGGACATAATCCCGATGTGCTGCAACAAAACACTCTCAACCAGAAATGCTATAAGAACGTTTCGTGCAGACCACAAAAGGTTTTTAGAACGTTGTTCGGTGGGCCTATAGGCGAGCCAGGACGCTTCGCCACTGCATGATAGGACGGCCTCTAATCACCTCTGGCTCCGTCGGGGCCCGTTGGGGCGTTTTAGTGACCCGCGGACCTGGCGGCCGGCGCGGAGCGGGCGGGGAGCTCCTGGCTGGCGTTGAACATGCCCAGCCTCGCCATCGCTCGGACGCCCATACCCCGTGCATTTTTGTGCGCTTTCGCGCGTGCATGTTTCTCGAGATGATCCAAGGTGCTCCTCGACGGTCCCCGCCGAGGAAGCAACGCACACGTCCGAGCGATGCCAGGCAGCCTCTCGGGCATGAATTCGTAGGCATTCTTCTCGGGGTGCCACATGAGCCCGTAGATCGGTAGTTTCTTGGCCTGGATCCGAGCAGGGGAGGGGGATACAGATGAGGAGGAGAAAGAACAGGCGGGATAAGGATGATGATGAAAGAGAGGGAGATGGCAAGCTAGGTGCGCTCGGGACCGAAAACCATGCTGTGGCATGGCACTGGAAATAATGACGCCAACACTGCAGCGGGAGCAAGATTCGGAACGAACGGAAGCGCGGAAATGAGGCCAGCGCTGCAGCGGAAACACGATTTGGACGACGAGTTGCCTGACATAGCACGGCGTGGCGGCGCCCCAAAGTGGGGGGGCCTCCGCGACCCAAAAATCAACGAATCGACATTTGGAAGGACCGAAAACCATGCCGTGGCATGGCGCTGGAAATAATGACGCCAACGCTGCAGCGGGAGCACGGTCGGAACGGGCGGTAGCCCGAAAATGAAGGGTCCGACTTGCAATTTCCCCTGCGTTTATAGTATGCCGCACACCCAGACTTCTCATGAGGCAGACAGGGGGCATACCCCGGAGCTCAAGGGGGCTGGCCCCGAGGTGGCCCCGTTAAGAGAGGCTCCCTGATTGAGATGAACCCCTACGGGTCAGTGCGAGGGGAACGGCTGCTTGCCTCTTCGCGGGCCCACCCTTGGGGACGCGATGGCGAACAGAATTTCAAGTGGGGGGTTCCCTGAGCCCCTCTTCAATTTGTGAGCCAGAGCTCCTGTATGGACAAGGAGGAGGAGGAGGAGGAGGAGGAGGAGGAGGAGGAGGAGGAGGAGGAGGAGGAGGAGGAGGAGGAGGAGGAGGAGGAGGAGGAGCCGCGCTGCATGTCGCTGCCAGGTGCCCGCCTCGGACACGGCCGCTGTGGGTTCCGCGGGCAGCCTTGCGCAGCGTCGGTGGCTACGGGCAGAAGCTCGGCAAGTTGGACTGCCTTCGCGCAGCCCAATCGCCGACGGGCAAATGCGGCCGCCCGCCAGCAGTATGAATACTCTCGGTTTATTAATAAGCGCGGGGGGTACCCCCCCGACGGGGGCCAACCTCGTCTCTTCGTCGCGTCGCGACGGGGGTCGGAACGCCTTCGGCTCGCGGTGGCTGCCCGCGACGGGGGTCAATGTGGGGCTGTCGGTGGAGGTGACGCCCCCTCGACGCGTATTAAGAAACTCGGAGTAGTGTTCGGTGGAATCCTCCGCCCCCGCGCATCCGAAATTGCGCGTGGCGCCAGCCATGGGGCCCTCAGGCCAGCACTGTGCTGGCATCCAGCTATTCCGTAGCGCGCGTAGGACTGCGGCCCAGACACGCGGAAGCACCAGCGGGCCAAGCTGCTGGAGCGCCGCGCTGGCGCGCGACGCCGTCTCGGCAGCGCCCGCGGGCAGGCGCCATCGTTGCGTCCGGTGCCCCATCCGCGGGCAGATGCACATCTTCGGGGGCGGCTTCGGCTCGCGACTGGAGCCTCCACAGCTTCGCTGTGGGGTCTGACGGGCCGCCGTAGATGAAGGGGCCCTGGGACACACAAATAAATACACACAAATAAAAGGATTCCCCATATTTTCCCATATTTTCTGGGTTTCTGTCTTCCCCCCCACTTCCCATATTTTCCCATGTTTTCTGGGGAATCGACGATTCATTGTGCCTGTGTGTGTTTTCTTCCCTCCTGGGTAGAAGCGGGCGCTCCACTGCTGCGACCGAGGCGCCTGCGGCCGCGCACTGCGATGCCGATGCGTCGGGGCGGGCTCTGCCACTCTGCCCCCCCCCCGAGAGCCGCATCCTGGTGGCACAGGGCCCCGCGGCCCCGCCCCCCTGCGGCCGACACGTCCTGGGCCGCTCGGAAACGAGGTGTCGACTGCCAGCTTGCGCCGGCGTTGCCCCGGCGAGGAGGAAGCACCCCGTCGGGCCCCGGGGCGGATGGCGGCGCCTTGGTGACCGCGGCTTCAACGCCCGCCCAGCGCACCTGCCACCGGGCGTCATCCAGCGGAGGGCAGCCAGGGTGGGAGCTGACCGGCGGGGGGTCCGGGAGCTCCTCGCGGACCCACTGTGCAAGCAGAGGCCGATCGGCGCCTCTTGGACCGAAGACATCGACATCGCACCAACGGCTTCGAAGCGAGATTGCCATGGACCGCGGGTCAGTGCGCTCTGTGCCATCCGGCGCCTGCACCGCATGGACAGCCACACGGACGACTAGGACGTAGTTTTTGAAGACGTGCGTGAATGCGCCCTCTTCGGACTCGGGCCTCGTCGTCAGAAATGCCAGGCCGATCCAGACGCAGCGCTTGAAGAACAGCCACTGCCGCCTCCCGACCCAACTCGACTGCGTGCCGGCGAGATGGCCGAAGGCCATCGTGCGCCCGCAACGCTGTCGACATGCAAATCCTACTATGACTGGCCGCAACCCTGGCAAAACTGTACTACAGCTGGTCACACTTATGATTGGAGCGAACCTCCTACAGCTCGCTGCCTCTAAGTATGCTTTCTGTTGACGCACGTGGCGCCCTGCGATCCTTCTACGATCTTCCAGAGAAAGCGCACCAGCAAACCGACGCACAGCTGCGCAGACCAGTTTTGCAAAGCTGCGATTCGTACGTCCGCGCGGGGAGCCGCGGCTCTGGTGCTTACTCCACATGCTTGAAGCAGTCGCCAAAGCAGCCAAGATCTGGTCCAGAAGGGGGAGTGACATTCCAAGGCGCAGCGTACACGACGGTCGGTTCAACGTCGGAGAAACATGTAGCCGCTCTCATCCTGGGGAAGATCCACGCAACGTCAGGAACAACAGAAACCAACTCATTTGCGATGCTCTTAGAGAATGGCACTAAAAAAGTTGCACTGAAGATCCAGAACCATTGATCTGAAATGCGCGAGGCTTGGCCACCGCAATTCTGTCACAATCCCCCGCGCGCCTCGACAAACATGAATGCGTTCACTGGGCAACCATCAAGCGGAATCATATCGGACAAACGCAGCGGACAGGAAAAACTAACCCAAAAGTGTTAGTGGGTAATCGAACAAGGCATCAAGAAGAGATGCCGGGGGGGCGCAAACCAGGTCACGAGCAGGGACTGGAGCAAGGAAGTGAAGGCGGGGTGCGAGAAGGAAGGCGAGGTGCGAGAAGGAAGGCGAGGTTGGGAAGGGCCAGGGAGGAGGAGGCGGAGACGGAGGGGGCGGAGGAGGATGATAATGATGATGAGGAGGCGGAGGAGCAGGAGGAGGAGGATGAGGAGGAGGAGCTGGAGTTGCAGGATGAGGACGAGGACGGTGGCGAGGACAAGGAGAAGGACGATGCGAAGGAGGCGACAGAGAACGACTAACAAAAAGAAGGGAACGACGACGGATGGAGTGGGGGAAGAGACGAGGGGGGCGGTGAGGATAACCATGACGACGGGAAGGCGGAGTGGGAGGGCGGAGGGCGAGCACGTATGCGAACGAGAAAGGCAAGGACGAGGAGGAACATCGCCTGTATGATGTCCACGAAGGGCATCCCCTTGCGGTCCTGGCCCACCGCGACGAGGTCCCAGAACTCCACGAGCGGCTTGCTCTGCTCGAAGGCCTCCCGCCTCTTTCCTCCCTCTCCTCCTCCTCCTCCTCCTCCTCCTCCTGCTGTCCTCCTCCTCCAACTCCTCCTCCTCCTTCTCCTCCGCCGCCTCCTTTTCCTCCTCCTCCCTCCACCCTCCTCCTCCTCCTCCTCCTCCTCCTCCTCCTCCTCCTCTTCCTCCTCCTCCTCCCCCCTCCTCCCCCGCTCCGTACTCCTCCTCCTCCTCCTCCTCCTCCTCCTCCTCCTCCTCCTCCTCTTGCCGCCCGTCCTCCCAAGAGCAGCTGGAGCGGCAAACGCAGGCGGACCGCCGGAGTCGTGCGCGCTCCGCGGAAGGAGCCCGCCCGTGCACATCAGGGCCTGGCGTGGAGGCCGTGGCCTCGAAAACCAAACCAAACCTGCAACTGCGGACGTGCTTCCCGCAGATGGCACACCAAGAATGCCCAACCGCATGCACTAGGCAAGCCGGGAATCGAGAGAGGCCAACCTGCAACAGGCGACCCAACGGGCGAAGCCTTGGCCCCTGCAGATAAACTAAAAGGTAGCCACGGCAACGTAACAGGGCTGTCCTGCGCATGCGGCCGAGACACGGACCCAGAATCCCGTGCCCAAGTGCCGTGAGTCGCCATGTGAGGGGGAGGAGGAGGAGGAGGAGGAGGAGGAGGAGGAGGAGGAGGAGGAGGAGGAGGAAGAATAGGATGAGGAGGATGAGGATGAGGATGATGATGATGATGATGATGATGATGATGATGATGATGATGATGATGATGATGATGATGATGATTATGATGATGACGATGATGATGATGATGAGGAGGAGGAGGAGGAGGAGGAGGAGGAGGAGTAGGAATAGGAGGAGGAATAGGAGGAGGAGGAAGAGGAGGAGGATGAGGAGGATGAGAAAGAGGATGAGGAGGACGGGGAGGAGGAAGATGAGGAAAAGAGGACGGAGTAGGCAGCACGGACGCGCAAACTGCTTCCCCAGGCGGGCGAAAACAAGATTGACGGAACAAACTGCGTGCGTGCATTCCCCGCTGCTGCAACGGCTCGCGATACACCCTTCAAAAAAGGCATTCGACAACGCTAGAAACGCTAGGGCAATGGATAATGCATTGCTCGGGGAGGAATGGGGGGAAAGGGAGAAGGCAGTAGACAATCCGCGAACAAACTGCAAAGCACAATAGACGAAAATACAGACACTGACGCTGGAATACTACATTCAACGCAACCGTAAACATGCTCGCGTTGAACCAAGCTACGGGGATCAGCAGAGGAGAGGAAACATCCGTCGACAGAGAACCAAGCGCCCTCGACCAAACACATCACTGTGCATCGTGGGGTCTCCAGCGGCGTGCCAGCGCGAGGGAAGAAAACGCCTTTGGATGGCTTCGTCGAGCGGCCTCCCTCGCGAATGCAGGAAACGCCTCCTGCAATTCGAAAGGCCGCCAAAGCCCGTGACGCACATTAGGATCATCTTCCCCCTGTGGAGGCACCCCCCCGTGTTGCTGTTGCCCATCTCCGGGCCTCCAACACTCGCTTCCTTCACGGACGCCACGGCTCCGTCACCGGAGCCTGCCCGGCGCCAAAGAAGAGGACGAGGAGGACGAGGACGAGGACGAGGAGGAGGAGGAGGACGAGGAGGAGGAGGACGAGGAGGACGAGGACGAGGAGGACGAGGACGAGGAGGACGAGGACGAGGACGGGGAGGAGGAGCAGCAGCAGCAACAGGAGCAGCGAGGACGCTCCTCGCTCGCCCAACGGCGGAGCGGGCCGGCGCTGCCCTCGGCGGGTACTTCCGCACTCCCGTGCACGCCAGGAGAAGGGCAGGGGCGGCGGGCAACGGAGCCCAGCGCGTGTCGCGCCGGGCTGCGCGGGCCGCGGCCGCCTCCCGAGCCGCCCGGGACAGGGCCCGGGGCCCGCTCGTCGCAGCAGGAGAAAGGGGTGGCGGCGAGCGAGGGGGGGAAGCGAGGAGGGGCGGGGCTTCTCGGAAGGCTTGGAGGTCCCCCGGCCTTCCGAGAAGTCTCCTGGGCCTTCCCCGAGGACACGACAGAAACTTCTCAGGAGGCGCGGGGGGCTTCTGAGAAGTCCCGCCGCCCTCTGAGGAGGCGCGAGGGCCATCTGAGAAGTCCCGCTTCCCCCCCTCGCTCGCCGCCGAGAAGGGATGGAGGCCCCGCCCGCGGAGGCAAGCCATGGGGGCAGCGGCGGCGCGGGGCGCCTCCAGGCCCACGGAGAAGCCGTGGGAGTGCCAGGCCCAGGGCTCAGCCAGGAGGCCCTGCCGCAGCTCGGGAGGCATCTGCGCCACCTGGCGGCGACGACGACGACACATAATGACGACGGCGACGACGATGACGACGGCAAAGACGGCGGCGGCGGCGACGGCGAAGTCGATCCAGAAAGTGTTCCTCGGATTCGGCCTCTGGCGAACCCGTTCCGATGTCCTGGAGGGGTCAGATATCAATTTGGGGGTTAGGAGCCAGCCAAGATGGACGTATCGCCAGTGGAAGTCGGACAACGGCAATTTGCTACAATAGGTTTGCACGGCCCTGGCTTATTCTGCTGTGGCGACGACCCAGAGTGGCGCCTTCCAGTCGCATGGACTCCCGATGCCTTTAACGGCATTTTTCTGACGAAAGGAACTGGAGCTGCTCGAAACGCGGAAGACTTTTCAGGTTCCACCAGGAGCACTGTGGATACGTTAGCAATGCTCAGGGAAGCGGCTTCCCTGTCATGCCCTCGAGTCCCCTCGCTCCTCCTCCTCCTCCTCCTCCTCCTCCTCCTCCTCCTTCTCCTTTTTGTTTGTTCTTCTTTTCCTCCAAATACGAAGCTGCGAGCCGTGTCACCATGAGCGGTCGAAACCATCGCCCCCTCAGGACCGGCGGTGCTCGTGGGATGGGACAGATCAAACAACATTATACGATATATGTATACAGATAGAGAGAGGCAGAAACCAACAACAAAAAACACAGTAAGATCAACCAACAAGATAATAAGCGAGAGGGAGAAACAACAACAAAACATAATGGCAGGCGTGACGCAAATCAGGCTTCCTCCTTTTGGTCCACAAACTCACTGAAAGCAAACAAGTCCTCCAACGTAGCCACTCCCCCGCCCGAGCGCCGGTCCGACATGGGGGGTGATACAGCTAGAGAGCCAGGTGACTCCCAGGGACGGTCGCCCTTGGGGTCACCAGCTGGGACGAGCTGTCAACGTTGGAGAAGGTAACCGGCAGCGGATCGGGGAGGGAGAAGGAGGAGACAAATGACCGACCGTGACCTCAAGAGGGGGGAGAAGGAGGGGACCGAAGCGGCGGCGGTGACAGTTTGCAAAAGTTGAGCTGCGAATGCGGGCGAGAGCGAAAATGGATGGCGAGGGATGCTGCGCGGGGCGCCGCCGGCACAGGCTGCCGGGCTGGCCGAAGTGGCGGCCGGCAGGTGCTGAGGCTGCAGATGCCGACGCGGCTGGGCGTCGGCGTGGCCGTGCTCGCCAAGGTGGCAGGAGCGCAGTGGCTCCTCCCCCTGCCCACAGGACCCGCCCTCCGGCGTCCAGTCTCGCGACTGGCGCCCTCGCCCGCCAAGCAGGCGCAAAGGGTACCTGGACCGCGGGGCTCGTGGCCGCCGCGGGGGGGGGTTCCACCGAGCGCGAGGGGAAGCCTGCGCGTTCCGTGGCGGTGGCACCGAGGTCTCTTCCGGACCCGCCTCCCGCCGTGGGATTCGAGCCGCCCCCGCTGGTCGCTGGTAGCAGATGCACGCGCGGAGTGGCGAGGGAGACTGTTGTGGCGCAAGTGACGGGCCCACGCGCGGCGAAGCTTGCGGCTGGGTAGCAGTGCTCGGGGCGGCGGCGAATGAGCTGGCTGCGCTGCTGGCCGCTGCCGCCGTGGCTAACGCCATGGCGGCCACCCGCGACTCTCTTCCCCCCATCCCCCCCGAGTCCCCCCCGCCCACGAAAAGCTGGCGGCTGTGGCGGCGAGAATTGGCGGCGAAGTCGAGGGGGGAGCGCTGCTGTGAGCATTCTGCTGAAGCCGGGTAGAAGATGATCTAGTGCGACGCAGAAAAGGTGAAGAGGGATTGCTAGGAGGGAGACAACTGTTGGTGCGGGCCTTGCTGGCTGTGCTTGGCCAGCGCTATGTCAGCCGACGGTTGTGCTTTTTGCTCGTTCCCCCCGCAGAGACGATGCCCCATCCCCCCGCCGCGCGAGCGAGAAGGAGGGGTTTAGAGGTGCGAGCAGTGTGCGCGTGTGCGCGCGGGAGGAGGGGGGGGGATGTATCGACGAGGAGGGAGCCAGGTGAAGGCTGGGTGGAGGTGGCTTCTCACGCTCTGGTGGCATAGCTTCATGCCTGGCGTAGCATAGCCGCCGTTGCCGTAGTCGCCGCGTGCACCTTGCGAGGTAGGAGTCGCCAGGGATGGAGTGGTCGGTGCGAGCCACCTGCTGCTGCTGCTGCTGCTGCTGCTGCTGCTGCTGGATATCCAGTGAGCGCGGCTGCTTGGTCAAAGGGTAGCGCAGAGAATAGGACGTGGAAAAGAGCAGCGGGTCTCGCGGAGTCAGCCGTCGGTCTGCTAGAGCAGGAGATTGCAGGCGACGCACTGGTAGGCCTCGGTAGCGCAGGTTCCGTCTCGAGGCGCGAGCTTTCGTGGTTGTGGGCGACCGAGGGGGAGCTCCTGACTCACCGGAAGCATATATATATATATATATATATATATATATGTATATATATATATAGTCGGTTAAGCGGGCTGTTCAACCGCGGCGAAAGGTGGCCGTGGTGACCACATGGTGACGCCACTTCAGCTCCGCCGGCTGCGTCGCTGCTTGCCAGCTGGTGGGGTGGCGTCGGATTCTGTCCAGCGGGGCCCATCGGCGACATTGTTCGCAATGTAATCCAGGTCGTCGTCCCCAAAGTAAGCCTCGTCACAATTCTCGTCGCGTGACGCTTCTGTGCCCGATCGGAGCGGTGTGTACCTCACGTCGTAGATGTCGTTGCTCGTCATCTGGGTTGGGGCTGGCCTCCCCTGAGGTGGACTCGGCGAAGGGCGCCAGCCGCGAAAAAGGAACCCGAGTTACCCCTGACCCGAGTTACCCCTGACGATGTGGGGCTCTGGACGCCCGAATCATCTGGGGTACCTCGGGTCCGGGACAACTCGGGCTCGGATTCCCGAAGAACGAACCCGAGTTAACCCTGACCCGAGTTACCCCTGATGATTTGGGGTTCTGATCTCGTGTCGGCGGAGAGCAGAAAGCTCCTGCTGAGGGTGTCGGTGATGAGCCGCATGTCACGGATGTGCGTGCCGCTCCCCGGCGGTGTCGGGCCCGCAGTCAAAGCGTGGTCCGTGGTGCTGTCAGTCTGTGCTGCGAGTGCTCGGCTCTCGGAAGCACTCCTGCTTCTTAGAAGCACCCCTGCTTCTCAGACGGCGCGGGCTTCCTCCTTCCTCCCCCTCCTCCTCCTCCTCCTCCTCCTCCTCCTCCTCCTCCTCCTCCTCCTCCCTCCTCCCCCTCCTCCCCTCCCCCTCCTCCTCCTCCTCCTCCTCCTCCTCTCCTCCTCCGCCGCCGCCGCCGCCGCCGCCGCCGCCGCCCGCCTCCTCCTCCTCCTCCTCCTCCTCCTCCTCCTCCTCCTCCTCCTCCTCCTCCTCCTCCTCCTCCTCCCTCCTCCTCCTCCTCCTCCTCCTCCTCCTCCTCCTCCTCCTCTCCTCCTCCTCCCCTCCTCCTCCTCCTCGTCCTCCTCCTCCTCCTCCTCCTCTCCTCCTCCTCCTCCTCCTCCTCCTCCTCCTCCTCCTCCTCCTCCTCTCTCCTCCTCCTCCTCCTCCTCCTCCTCTCCTCCTCCTCCTCCTCCTCCTCCTCCCTCCTCCTCCTCCTCCTCCTCCTCCTCCTCCTCCTCCTCCTCCTCCTCCTCCCTCGAGCCCATGCGGCTCAAGTCCTTCCGTAGGCCCCTCTTTTGGCCCTCGGCAGGCCTGATGTCGCTCCCTGCGTCTCCGCGCGACGCTTGAGGGACGCCCAGAACTCTTCTCGTCGTGGAGTCTCTTCGCCCTGACGGGGACGAGCAGCTGGGCGACGAAGGCAGGGAGAAGCGAAGTCAGTAGTTCCATGGGCTCGCCATCGCTCGGACGTCCATTCCCCGTGTTTTTTTCGGTTTCGTGCGTGGTCTTTTCGTGAAATGATCAAGGATGCTCCTCGATGGTCCTCGCCGAAGGAAAAATGCACACATCCGAGCGATGCCAGGTGGGATGGCTACGGGAGGCCGGCCCTGGGCAGGCTGGCCAGACGCCGTGCAGGCGGTCGCATGCCGAGCGGCGGGCCGCCCAGCGGCGCGCGCGCGACTCCTGCGAGCGTGCGCTGCGGCGGGCGCTGCGCGGACAGGCCGCCCCCCCGATGTCGGCGAGCCGCCGCATCCGAAGGTGGCGATGCTGCTCCACAGCGGGGAGAAGGGGGCCAGCCCTCGAAATATCGAGGGGCAGCGTGTGGTACTCCTCCGCCCTGGAGGGCTTCGTGGGCAAGGCGTGCGCGGCGGAGGAGGGCGAGGCCCCGGCCTGCGCGCGGGTGCGGAGGTTTTCGGCCCCTCCGCAAGGTGCTGGCTGGGAGCCGCCGCCTCCGCCCGGAACATTATGCACTTGCGGCGCATTTCTGTTCACAGGATGCCGGAGACGCCGATTTGATTCGCCAACTTGTGCGGTCAATGCGCGGACATGTATTTCCAAGAGTTCAAGTCGTTCTGCAGAAGTTCCCCAGAAGGCCGAGGGCGCAGGGGGCACTGATCGTCAAGACCCCTCGGACGCTTCGGCCAGGCGCCGCGGAGGCGGAAGGGGCACTGATCATCAAGACCCCTCGGACGCCTGGGCCCAGCGTCGAGCAGCGTGGTGGGAAGCTCGTGCTCTTGTTTCTCGCACCTGGCTTGGAGACCCTGTCCCAGTCGAGGGTGCTGCCGAACAGCAGCAGAAGCCGCCCGAAAGGGCCGCCGTGGCGCCGCAACCCGAGGCAGCCGCTCCCAGCTGGGAGTCCAGTGAAGCCCGTGCGAGACTTGTACGCGATGCGGATCTCCTTCGGGGTGGGCCGTCAACGTCAACCCCTTCCATACCCAGTGGTTCGACTGTGATAGATTGGTCCGCTACCGCCCAGAACAACGAAAGGGATCAAGGTTGCCAGCAAATGTGATGTTTTGCTGATCTGGCCACTTTATTCACGTACTTGTGAACTTATTTGACCCATTTGAGTCTTAATGTTCACGTACCTGTGGTTGACTGGAGGGAAGGACTGAAGCTTCTGTACGTAGTGTTTTCCGTACCTGGGTGAGGTACTCGCACGAGGCATCGGCCATGTTCCTCGTTCTTCCCAGTCCTGCCTGCCAGTTTCTGGTGCGTGATGTCCACCTTCCATCGCGACCTCACTGACTTCCCGTCCCTCGCGTGTCTGGAGAAGCTCAGGGGTGGCGACAGGAGTGAATCATATCGCTACGCGATCAAGCAGAGTCTCCAGAGTGCTACGCGATCAAGCAGAGTCTCCAGAGTCTCCTCCTCCCCCTCCTCCCCCTCCTCCTCCCCCTCCTCCTCCTCCTCCTCCTCCTCCTCCTTCCTCCCCTTCCTCCTCCTCCTCCTCCTCTCTCCTCCTCCTCCTCCTCCTCCTCCTCCTCCCCCTCCTCCCCCTCCTCCCCCTCCTCCCCCTTCCCCCCGCGGCCACCGGCGCCCAGTCGGCGCCAACCGCGGTGAGGTTCAGGCGGGCGAGCATTGGCGGCGGCCCGAGGGCGTCCCAGCCTGGGAAGAGAGCGTTTTTTTTTGGACGCCCGAAATGGGTACCGAAAAAATTGGTACTATGCTCAACAACAAATGTTGTCCCAAACCAACAGCGGCCGCTGTTGGGCAGGCGGCCTCCTGTCTCGAATGGACACAGGCCACGGCGGCGTGGACAGCGAGTCCTGTTCAAAATGAAAAGGAACTGCTGTTGGGCATTGTACCCATTCTTTCGGTACCCATGTCGGGCGTCCAGAGTTTTTGGTTTTAGGTGTTACTTCGCGATAGCTGCCATTACCGGCCCCGGTCGCCCAGTAGAGGCCTCCCGGATGGGGTCGGAGCAGATGGGGTCGGAGGATAGCGCCGCATCGCCGATGCATCGGCGATGCATCGGCGATGCACCGGCACCGGCGATGCATCGTCGACGTCGGCGACGCATCGGCGGCGTCGGCATGTGTAAAATCGGGCTTCGCGTCGAGCCGCATCGCCGATGCATCGGCGATGCGACGCGATCCTCCGACCCCATCTGCTCCGCCCCCATCTGGGAGGGCTAGACCCTCCCCTTCAACCCAGGTAATGTCACGATTCATGCTGACCTCCGACGTGGCCTTGGTTACTCCCAGGCATTCCCAAATGGCGCTGGCGCGAAACGTGATTTGTCATTGTAGCAGTGCTGCTGTTATTACATTATTGTCAGCACGCCTCACATCATCCCTTGGTGCCGATGGGTTGGGTACGTCGCAGGGTCATTTCTACGACGGCGGCCATTCCCGATCCCTGGCCGCCCACCCCCCTCCCTCCCCTTCCCCCCCAGGTAATGTCACGCTTCCTGGGTTCCTCCTGGGCGCTTCCAGATGGCGCTGGCGCGAAACGTGACGTGACCAGCCGCCCGCCGCCCTCCCCTCCCCTCCCCCGAAACGCCCGCCATCGGCCGCGAATAACACAACGCCCGATCAAGGAACAGAAAAAGGCGCCGGGGGAGGGTAGCAGCAGGCAGGGAGTAGCTTGCACCCTCTCTTCTCCGCAGCCTTTTTGGATTCAGTTTTTAAGCCTGGCAGGGGCGAGGGTTCCGTGTGAACCAGGCCTAGCGCTTGAGAACACTTCCATCTCAGGGAGCTCCGCCCGGATTTCTCGGATCGGCGCTGGGGGGTGACGCTCCGAGCGCCAGGGGTGTGTGTCCGGTGCCGATCCACGAAACCAGCGCGGACCTCCGAGAGTTTATGTTTATGCAACTACTTGTTCCCCGAGAGAAGGGGGACTAGAGGTTTGGTGGCAGCTCCTGCGAGGTCATCGCGAGAACGACTCGGGGCTATCGAGACCACCTAGGGGTGCACTGAGCTGGACGAGGCAGAATCAAGGCCAAGACGCCTCCCGGTTGAGCCGGATAAAAGCGGAATTCAGCGGGACTATGCCAGTCTTTGACCACGAATGCAGTGCGGGCGCGGCCGCAATACACCCTCGCAAGAAACCCAACACTGAAAACCCGCGCGCGAGGTGCACCTGAGGGGAAACCCGGAGCACCCTGAACGCAGCCGCTCCTTCCCCGGCTGCGGGAAGCCACCGCGCGGCGCGCGGAGCGAAGAAACCCAGGATACTCCAGATTTCATAATAAAGGGAGGGGGGTCTCATTTCGGGGGGGGTCTCGTCCAGGCTATCTTGGAGGGCCTGGGGGGTTCTGGGGACGATGTTTTGGAGGGTCCGCCCACGGGGGAGGTCTGGAATGGCTTCTCTTGGAGGGTCCAGACCCCCTCCCTTTTACTACGAAATCTGGAGTACCCCGACGAAAAGCAGATGGTTTCTTGATGCGCGCTCCCATTGTATACCAGCGCAGATGCCGAATCTCAGGGCTCCCAACTTCGCGCTTCGCGCTGCGCGAAGCGCGAAGTGCGAATAACTTCGCCCTCTCGCGCCGCCTCCCAGGGGAGAAGAGGAGGACGAGGAGGAATCGGAGCCGAACCGCGAAGCGCGAAGCGCGAATAACTTCGCGCCCTCGAGGGCGCCCTTGCGAATCTCACCTCCCAGGAACTGCACCTGGAGGGCGGGAGGACCGGCGAACGCCACCTGCCGGATGGCCCACGGCGTGCCCGCGGGCGTCGGGCGCTCGGCGAGCGGCGGGGGCGCCCAGGGAGAGCGCGAAGTGGAAGGGGCCCAGGGACACACAAAAAAATCGGCACAAATAGCCAGATTCCCCACCTGTTTCCATGCTTTCTGGGTTTTCGTCTTCCCCCCCCCACGCTTCCCATATTTTTTCGTTTTTTCTTGGGGATCGACCAGTAATTGTGTTTGCGTGCTTGTTTCCCTCCTGAGGAATGCAGAGCCCTCGGACCACAACAAGGCAGCCCTGGCCTCCCGGCAGATGTGACCGACATTCTCGGCAGTCTGTGCTGCCAGGAGGGCCCAGAATCGAATCGGCAAGTCGGACCAGCGATCGAAACGAGTCGGATCGGCGGAGATCGGCAGCCAAGTCGGGGAGAAGCCGAATCGGCAGAAATCGGCAGGCCAGCAGGCCTCCATTGAGGAATCGGAATCCAAATCGTAATCCGAAGTCGAGTCGAATCGGAATCGGAGGCCATCGAAACGAGCCCTGTGCTGCCCGGTCAAATACAACGAGAAAACAGCAGATGCAAGCGGACGACGACGAGCGCGCAGGCGCGAGGTGCCAATAACGCCAATTGTAAACACAAGCCAGCGATCCTGGCCAGGCTCTCCTCCTGGGCACAGGAAAGGTGCAGGTGGGTCGTTGTTGTGCCCTCCGAGAGGAGCTGGAGGAGAAGGGGGGAGGAGGCAGGGAAAACTGGAGGGCTGGAAGGGGGGGGAGAAAGCGAAAACTGGGGAGAGGAGGGGGGGGGAGCGGAGGCGAGTGGAATGGAACCGTATGGGACACATTGGAATACCCGTCGTCGGAAGAAGTGGGTAGAAGCATGAAGTAGGAAGTTGTTGGGAAAGGATTTGGGTCTCCACCCACCCCCTGAAGAGGGAAGAAGGAGAACCGCTCGACTCTTGTAGTAGGAATAGGACTAGAGTAGATTGGGATCTGGGAATCCAGACATATCTGCTTCCAACGACCGGCGTGTTCCCGTAAGGGGGGAGTGCAGCAGTGAAGCACCACGCTCGTGGCTTGGTGGAGCCAGCGCTGGTGCCTCGAAGGTCCCTCCAGGACGTGCAGGGCGTGCGGCAACGATGCTCTACGCGCGCGCTGCGCAGGGAGGGGGGCGGGGAGGAGGAGGAGGAGGAGGACGAGGAGGAGGAGGAGGAGGATGAGGGATGAGGATGAGGATGAGGATGATGATGATGATGATGATGATGATGATGAATGATGAGATGATGAGGGAGGAGGAGGAGGAGGAGGAGGAGGAGGAGGAGGAGGAGGAGGGGGAGGAGGAGGAGGGAGGAGGAGGAGGTGGAGGAGGAGGGGGAGGAGGTGGAGGGGAGGAGGAGTGGAGGAGGGGGAGGAGGATGGAGGAGGGGAGGAGGAGGAGGATGAGGAGGAGGAGGAGAGGACGAGGAGGAGCAGGAGGTGATGATGATGATGATGATGATGATGATTGATGATGATGATGATGATGATGATGATGATGATGATGATGATGATGATGATGATGATGTGATGATGATGATGATGATGATGATGAGGATGAGGAGGAGGAGGAGGAGGAGGAGGAGGAGGAGGAGGAGGAGGAGGAGGAGGAGGAAGGAGAGGAGGAGGAGGAGGAGCAGGAGGAGCAGGGGAGGAGGCGGAAGAGGAGGAGGGGGAGCTGGAGGAGGGGGAGGGCGCCGACGGAGCTCCAGGGCTCTCGCTCGTCGCACGCGGCCCTCGCCTCCCCGCGGCCCTCGCGGCCGCCGCGGGGCCCCTCGGCGGGGCTCTGGCGCCCGACTGCTCATGCTGCTGGCCGCCGCGGGGCCCGCCAGGCCGCCCGTGCCCCGCGGGCGGTCTCGCGGCAGCGCAGTGGAGCCCTGGGAGTCTGAGCTCGCCGATGATGATGACGATGATGCTGCGCTGCGGTCTCATGGTGCCCTGGTCGTGATCGGTCTCGCGGCAGCGCAGTGGTGCCCCGCGGGCGGTCCCGCGGCAGCGCAGCGGAGCCTTGGGAGCGGGCGGTCTCGCGGCAGCGCCGTGGCGCCTGGGCCTGGACGGAAGAGGGGGGGAGAGGGGGAATGGAGGGGGCCCGAGGCACTGGAGCGCCCAATACGGCCCAAGATGGCTCCAAGAGGGCCTCAGAGAGCCCACGATGGCCTCCAACATGGCTCAAGAGAGCTGACGCTGGCTCAAGATGGCCTCCCACATACATCGAAAACGGCCCAAGGCGGCCCCAAGATGGTTTCAAGTGCCCTCCGGGCCCTCCAAGGACCCCCCCCAAGAGGCCCAAATGGCTACAAAACCCTGGGAGAATCAATGATGTGTGCGTTCTGGCCTTTTCGCTTCTGATGGGCTTCCGAGGCCTCAAGATGGCCCCAAGACGGCCAAAGAGAGCCCCAAGAGGGGCCCAAGAGGGCCCCGAGAGGGCCCCAAGAGCGCCCAAGAGCACCCCAAGAGCGCCCCAAGAAGGCCCCACGAGGCAATTGTTGAGCCTCCGAAGGGGGTACCTGAATTGAGGGCCCCTCCCTCCCTTTTAAGCAACGGGGCCAAAAAGGCCCCAGCAGACCTCTCGGACTCGCCCAAAGGACCCAACGAGGGTTCCAAGATGGCCCCAAAAGAGCCCCAAGAGGCCCCAAGAGGGCCCCAAGAGGCCCTCCAGAGAGCCCCAGGATGGCTCCAAGAGACCCCCGAACACCTCTCACAACAACGATTCAACTGGCCTGGCAAAGTGTTTCTGAATGGGCTGGTGGGGATACGCGAAACGTCAATAATTGAAGTACGACGGCTTTAGGGCGCCCAAACTCAAAGAGTGGGCCGCGTTTCCTGGTGACACCACCCTTGAGAGCACCGTGGACGCGAGCGTCTATGGTGGTTAACACTTAAGATTAGGGCAATCATTGGGCAAAACAAGGGCGCGCGCTGGGGGTTTCTTAGTAACGCCGCTGGCTTAATTCACTTAACATGCCCTGCCGTTACTGCGACAATACGGCTTGGACATCTAGCCCACAGGGGCAATCTGGCAACGGACGGGATTTGGAGCCCTCTAATTCGCTCAAGTCAGACTGTGGGAAATACTAAGAACATTCCTCCTCAAGGTTCCAGGAGGATCCTAAAGCCAGGGGGAGTCCGGCTGAACGTTCCCATATGATGCCTGCCGCTTGGCTCGCCAACTCACTCAGCTCGTGCCGTACATGGGGCGGGGGGGACGCGCCTGCAACGGCAGCATGAGCGCCTCTTGACCATTCCATCTGGGCAGGCCAAAACGCTCGCGTTACACACGCGATAGCCGACAACATGCCTTGACACTATCAAACAGCAACGGGGCTTGGAGCAAATGTAAAAGAGGCACAGCCCCCCTTCGAAGGCCACGTCTCGTTATCCGAGCCCGACCTTTCCGCCTTTCGATGGGGCGTACATTGCGCACACCCTACCACACCCGCACAACACGCTGGGAAAGGTGGGGTGCTTCGGGGATGGGCAGAGCTCTCTCTAGTAAAACGTGGCCCAGTGAAAACGACCTCGGGCCCAAACCTGGCGGGCGCAGGCCTGGAGAATGACGCCGCCGCGGCGCCCTCTCGAGAGCCGAAAGCAGGCAGTCCACGAAGCGACGTGTCAGGGTGGGGGCTCTCGGCCTCGCTCTGAGGCTCCGCCACTTCCTCCCTCCTCCCCTCCGCCTAATTCAAGCTTCGCGCGGCCCGCTTAGCTTCGACCGGAAGAGGTGCGCTCTCGACCCGCGGATCAAGAAGTGTCAGGGTGGGGGCTCTGTCCGCCTCCGAGTACTCATGCTCATACGATGGGCGCGGGCGCTGCCGCTGGCAAGGCCGTCGGTGCACGCAAGCTCCAGCCCCACCCCCCTGCGCCGCCGAGCCGGGCACGTGGGCGGCCGAGGCCAAGCCCACGTGGACCCGGAAGCAGCCTGAGGGGCCCAGAGACGCCCAGCAGCAAACCGACCTGCGATCCAGCTGGGCAGCGAGGGAGGGGGAGGAGGACAAGGAGGAGGAGGAGGAGGAGGAGGAGGAGGAGGAGGAGGAGGAGGAGGAGGAGGAGGAGGAGCAGGAGGAGCAGGAGGAGGAGAGGAGGAGGAGGAGGAGGAGGAGGAGGAGGAGGAGGAGGAGGAGGAGGAGGCCTCCCCTCTCTGGCCGCCAGCCAGCGGCCGCCAGGGCCTCGTGGACGCCGCGCGCGAGCCCTGGGGCGCCGGCGCGCGCGCGCGCTGGCGGTGGGCCGGGCACGGCGTGCCGTGGCTGTGCGGAGTGGCCGTGGTGCCCCTTCAAGCGGTTGCACGGCCTGGGCCGAAGGAGACGAAGGTGTCCAAGCCCCAGGGAGCTTCGGGGGAGTCGGGCGCAGTTCCGAACGGGGCCCGAGTCCGCCGCGTGCTGGAGGTCGCCTGTTGGGCTCTGAGTCCGCCCCGTGCTGGACGGAAACCCACATGGGGTCTGAGGCCGCTTCCGAGCTCGATACCGTTCGATGGAGGATACGAGGAGGAGGATGAGAAGGAGGAGGAGGAGGAGGAGGAGGAGGAGGAGGAGGAGGAGGAGGAGGAGGAGGAGGAGGAGGAGGAGGAGGAGGAGGAGGTGGTGGAGGAGGAGGAGGAGGAGGAGGAGAGGAGGAGGAGGAGGAGGAGGAGGAGGATGAGAAGATGAGGAGGAGGAGAGGAGGAGGAGGAGGAGGAGAGGAGGAGGAGGAGGAGGGAGGAGGAGGAGGAGGAGGAGGAGGAAGAGGACGAGGAATAGGAGGAGGAGGAGGAGGAGGAGGAGGAGGAGGGGAGGAGGAGGAGGAGGAGGGGAGGAGGGGGAGGAGGGGGAGGAGGAGGAGGGGGAACAGGACCTCCTCCTGCGGTGGCAAAAACGAATTTTGGGCCCCGGGCGGCCGCTTGTGACCGGGCCAGGGCTCGGCTGGCCCGAAGTGAAGACCAGCAGCTGCAGCAAGCCCAGGCACTCGCCCCACATCGGGATCCGCTCTCGCGCGCCCGTCTCGAACACGAGCCTGCTGAATTCCTGGCACCCGGGGAGGGAGGGAGCCAAGACCCCCTCGCGTCGTGAAAAAAATACCCCAGCAGAGCACCCGAATAGCAGCGAAAGGTGAAGAGGCGGGTCGAGTGGTCGGGGGGGGGGGGGCGCGAGGAAAGGGAGGTCAGAAGAAAGGCGCGGTCGGTTGGTCGCTTGGTCGGAACAGAGGGGGAGGGGGGAGGTCGGGGTCCCAGCTCGGGAGGGTCTGGGGGTGGGGTGCGGTCGGAGAGGAGGGTACGGATCGGAGTCCAGGGAGGGGCTGGGCCAACACGAGGGGGTGCAGAAGAATGCAGCGCGAGAGTACACCGGGCTGGCATGTACGAATCACAGTGGGCACCTCCCTGCTCACTGGTTATTCCTCCCCTGTCCTCCTCTTCCGCTGCGGCTGCTGCTTCTATCCTCTTCCGCGATACCCTCTCCTGGCCCGTGGACTGTCCCTCTACAAATCCGCCGACCCTGTCGGCGTGTGGAAGACGCATCCCGGTGTCGTCGTCTTGCGTGGATCACCGTCGTCGTCGTCGTCGTCGTCGCCGTCATCGCCCGAAAAAAAGGAAATCGAACACGAAACATAAGGAAATCGTAGTCGTGGCGAAGCCCCTCCCTACCCTCCCCGCCGGGGGGGGTGGCGGGGGTGGGGGGGGGGGGGGGTGGTGGGCGGGGGTGGGGGGTGGGGGTGGGGTGGCGGGGGTGGGGTGGGGTGGGGCGGGGGCAGATTCGCATCCCCCCGGGCGACCCTCTCCCTCCCCCCCCCTACCCCTCCTCCTCCTCTCCTCCTCTCCTCCTTCTCCTCCTCCTCTTCCCTCCTCCTCTCCTCCCTCCTCCCCCCCACCTCCTCCTCCTCCTCCTCCTTCGACTTCGAACTCCCATTCAAGCATCCTTACTGACTGTCACTCACTACTCTGGGCACGCCTACACCAGGCACCAAAACTTCACGAACGACACCGCCGAGGAGCCGCGAGCGCGGTTAGCTCGGACGGAACGCCTGCGGCCTGCAGGGGGGGAGCACGCCTTCGCACGGCCGCGCGCCGCCCCCAAGGGGCCCCCAGGGAACCAGGAGCCCAGGACGCCAAAAAGGGTGCCCCCCCCCAGGCAGCACTCGGGTCCCAGACGGGTCCCTAGTGCCACCAGCAAACTACAGGCCCGAACAGGCCAGGGCACTTAAAACCCAGTCGTGTGGCTACAACGCCACCGCGGGGCCCTATTCGAAACTAAATCCAGGTCTACTTACCACCCAGACCTTTGGCTAGGGCACCCCGCGGAGCTCTACCTAGTTTTTTGGCGGCGCCCCAGGCACGGAAAATACGGGCCAGGACCGCCATCAAACCTACAAGCTTGTTGGACTCATTCACAGGGATCTCACGGGGGTTTCGCTGCAGGACCTTTTCCCGCTCCACGTCCGACGGTGCCCCTCCCCACGCCTCTGCCTGCTGCTTGTTTAGCTCCTTTGCGCCCTCCACGTTCTTTGCCACCAGGATGTGACCTCGGAGCTGGAAGGTGCACCTCAGGATTTTCGAGTCGAACGCGGGGGGAAACCCGAACCCGTGGATCCACAACGAGGCCTCCTCTGGGGTCCCCTTGGAGAGCATGTATTTGATCCTCTGGCCGATTCCCAGATACTTGCGAACTTCCAGTGGGCAGTCGCCCTGAGTCAAGAAGTTGTCTATATCTGTCAGAATGCTGCCAAATTCTTGCACCTCTGGCGGGCCGTGGCTGTGGCCCTTGCCCGCAGCCTCGACCTTGTCGAGGTGCGCCTTGTACGCTTTCTGTCCTTTCTCCACGAGCACATGCTCCTTCGGGAAGAACATCTGAATTGAATTCTGATACTCTAGACTGCGCACACGACTCTCCAGCTAGTACACCATCTTCCTCACGGCTGCCTCCTTGGTCTCCTCCTTCTTCTGCTGCTTGGGCTTGGTTCCTCCTCCTCCCCCAGACTCGTCCGTGAGATCGAGCAGCCGGCTCCCTTCTGGCATCTTCGTCTAGGTGCCCCGTCGGCAGATCAAAGGGCGCGAAAAAGTCGAGCTCGTGCTCTGCGAGGCGCGGTGCCAGATGCGTGTTCAAAATGTGCAGCCTCAACGCCGCAGGGTCGTCCGAGCCAAAATCACATAGACGGCACTCCGTGAACTTCACACAAATAACATCCCCCGACCTGCCCACGTCTTTACATATTCCCTTTTCCATAGAGTTTGCCATGTGTTTCTGTGCTTGTGCGTATGACGAATAACATGTCCCACATATGATACATTGGTTACTCACGCAGGCAACTCTACCCAATATATGTGCACCATGCTCGCCACCCCGCGCGTGGACAAAGTGCGACGTGAGCGCAGCCTTACTGTGAAAAAAAAACGCCGCTGATCGAACCCGCCTCATTCCTGGCCCAGCATCTGTGCCTCCCATCCCCTCCCATATTCTGTCGACGCCGTTTAGCATGCTGATCTCTGTGTGTCCAATAGTGTGACTTTAGACCATGTACATCCACCCTAACAAAGTCCTCCCAACCCTCCAGGATAATTCTAATAGCACTCATACCATAATTCTGTAATAGCACTAGACCATCATCGAATACTTCAAGGGCTTCGATGTCCCTGAGCCACTGCTGCGCCCAGGGATTGACTGCGGTAGCTTGTTGTTCGCACGCCAGCGGCTGAGATACGGTGGCACCCGCCAGCGTTGCATTGAAGTCGCCAAAAACGACGGCCAGTACCTGTGCTCCCTCAGTCGGGTGCCGAAGGAGACCCTGCAGCCATGCGAGCCTACGAATTCTGCATTCGATGAACAGCGGCGCAATGCGGAACCTGGCAAGCACATCTAGGTTGTCCATGCTGCGTGTCTGGCCTGCCTCGTTCTTTGTCGCTGTGCCGTGCAAGATCGCACGCCCACGCCGTGCGAGGGAACTCTCCAGTGGTGCAATATCACTGTCCAGCAGCGGGCCGTTGCACCTGGCCAAACTTTCCACCCCCGAGAGAATCGCATTCATGACGTACCCCTTATACATATTTGCCCTCCACTTAAAAGCAACCTTACTCGTCCAGAAGTTCCCCATCCTCGCCCATGCTGCCATTCCCGAAATAAGACGGGACTTAATCTCCATTCCCACCCCAAATCTAGCAGGCAAGCGTGCGCCTAAATAACGTGCACGCGCAAGCGTACGCCCAGGCAGCTTATTCGGGCGCAACAGCAACTGCTCATTCTGGTATGCCCCTCTCCCGCAGCACACAGGGGGAGATTCTTGCTTCGAGACATTCTGAACCAGCCCCATGGAGCCCAACATGGACGAGATCTCGGAGTTCTGCTTTTCACTAAATATCAGGCCTTCTTGCATGTCGGAGAACGGTGCGGCGTCAGCCAGGTCATCCGCAAACAAAGACGCTGCGGCCTGCGCGGCCTCGCCCGAAATTGGGCATGTCGCAATAACCAACGGGCGTACTGTTGCACCGAAAAAACTCCTGCAGCTTAAATACGTACGCCATCGCGAACAGATACACCATAACAGGATCCCCAGGCATACATCCTTCCCCAATTGTGAAAACCACCTCGTCCTCCTCCTCCCCCTTGGTGTTGAATGCGAACGTAAAGTGACCATTCTTGATTCTATCTAACATGATCACCACGTCCTCCGGATGCAGCACCTTGATGGCTGCTTGGTTAAGACACTTTGTCGAGATCGAAAAGAACGCATTCGTCGCATCATGAAAGCGACGCAGATGTGCACCGCCTAGGCGCTTAAGTCGCCAGGCCGAACACGTTTGCACAACTACTGCCCCCTCCCTTCGTCTAAGCTTTAGAGCCCCATATGCCCGCGACGGTGTCGGCACTTTAGGCGCTCTGTGGAGCACTCCTCTGAAAAAAGCCTTGCCAAGCGAGCAGACCATCGTCGCCGCCCGTTCTCCAGCTGCCCCCTCCTTGTCGTTCCCCTTCCCAATGCGTGCAGCAACAGCGCGCAGCCACGACAGCGGCAGGCGTTGGAAGACTCGCACACATAACAGGATCAGCTGCGCAAGCTTGTAAATCTTCGGTGAGATGATATTCTCGATGTCCGACATATGCCCAAGGCCATGCCGTACTTCTTTCATCCGAGGGTTTGCCCAGCACGGAAACAACACGCACGCAGCAACTCGATCGGGCAACTCCATGCTGGGGTGGATTTCCAGAGCTTAGCTTTCCAAATCGCACGTTTAAGTCTTTGAAGATCTTCCTCCGCCTCCTCCTCATGCACGGTTTGTGGCACAGCGCGAGCGCGCGCTCTGGCCACGGAAGGCTTTCCTAGCGTAGTTTGCTTATCAGAACAGCCACCTTCAGGCCCCGATAACTTCATCTTCTCCTCCCACTCCTGCCTCGTGCCCTCCGCCCTGAGTTTGCCAACTTCCCTCTTCCTTCCTCCGCGTGTAGTCTGGGCCAGTAGCTTCGCAATGCGGTGGCTGGCATGCGCGTCCCTGCGTTCAACGGCTTCTTGAAACGCTTCGCACCTATCAGTCTTGATCTGCTCCCAATACTCCTGCTTCCTCCTCCTCAACCATCTGCTTATCCTCCTGATCTGCAATGTCAACCGAAGCTCCTTGCTCACCAAGTCCTCCCCCTCCACCTCCTCATACTCGAAATCAAACTGCTGCCTGACGGTGCGGCGTTGCTCGAGCAACGCCTTCACTTCTCTGGCGTGACGCGTGTGATCTTCTGTGTAGAGCGGGGACTTGCAGCAAAAAATAGCACCGGCTTCATTCACTGCCGCCATCCAGACACGGTTGGCCTCGTCGGCGATCTCACGTGGTGGCAGCGCAATCACCCGTTCATATTCCCTTGATAAGTGTCGTTCAACATGCTGGACAAAGGGTTCGCGCTGCCATCCACGCTGTAGCATCATAGACATTGCTTCACCAGAGAAACGAGGTGAATCAGCAATCTGATACGGTTCTGCAATAACTGTGAGCGGGATTGCCAAGCCAATAGGTACATGATCCCACACCTTGCTTTGACTGTGAGCCTGCAACCTCCAGGCCGATCTACGTAGTGTTGGGCACCATGTGACTTCGTGTGCCCACTTCTGGGGTATAAAAATGAAGTCGATCACTTTGGATGTCTCGGTGCCGTAGTACGTGTCGCCTGCAGGCCACTTGGTATTGATAGCACATAATGAATGCGACGCGAGCAGCGCCATCAGCCCTTCGGACGTGTCGTTCGTTGGACCATTCCCGTGTATCCCAACAATCTCATCATGCACTTGAAACTGACCGTTGACATCTCCCATGATGATAGGCGACCACCGCGCTGATACTGACCCTAGCAGGTGCGATAACCAACTTAGCATAGCCGAAACTGTCGCACGCCACTGCACCACTTGAGGTCGCCCTCTCGGTTGAGGTGGAAATACAGCAGAATCACTACGATGCGCAGCGGTCCTCTCTCGAACTTGATGGCACCACAACGACCCCATAAGTTTTTCGGCGTGTGCAGAAAACCTTTGATATGAGATCTGGTCAAGAACTTTCTCCTCACCCACAGTGTAAGTCCGCAGCTCTTGTTGCAGTGTGCACCTCTGTTCCAGCCAAAGTCAATACTCCAGTGATTCTCCGCCCGCTGTGATACTTCTGTGTGATCGCCCGACGAACGACGCTGTGTGCCAATGAGGCCCACGAGGTCGAAATTGCTCAATTCGTGAATTATGTCCAGGCTCCTCTCGCGATTCGCACTCTGTGGGTTGTACTGTGCGATCAGAATGCCACGACGGGCTGCCGATGCCGCGGGAGCTGCAGGTGCCACTGCATGAAGCCAAGCCGCTGCCCCGCTTGCTGAAGGCGCCCGAAGCGGGGGCCCCGCCGAGGGCCCCCCATCCCCGAACCAGAGTGGCGCCTTACCTCCTCCTCCTCCTCCTCCTCCTCCTCCTCCTCCTCCTCCTCCCCTTCCTCCTCCTCCTCCTCCTCCTCCCCCCTCCCCCTCCTCCCCCTCCTTCCGCCTCCCCCTCCTCCTCCCCCCTCCTCCTCCTCCTCCTGCTCCTCCTCCTCCTCCTCCTCCTTCTCCTCCCCTTCCTCCTCCTCCTCCCCCTCCTCCCCCTCCTCCTCCTCCTCCTCCTCCTCCTCCTCTGCCTCCTCCTCCGCCACGTCTTCATTTACCTCCGACGTCTTATCACGCATCCCGTCACCCTCGAGGGCCGAGATATCCAGGGTCGGCGGCACTGGCCGTAAGGCCTTAGCAATAGAGGCCTCCTAGATGGAGTCCGAGTAGGTGGGGTCGGAGGATCTCGCCACATCGCCGATCCATCGGCGATGCATCGCCGATGCATCGGCGATGCATCGGCCATGCATTGGCGACGTCGGCGATACATCGGCGACGCCGGCGTGGAGAAAATTGGGCTCACGTCGAGCCGCATCGCCGATGCATCTCCGATGCATCGGCGATGCGGCGTGATCCTCCGACCCCGTCTACTCCGAGCCCATCTAGCAGGCCTAGAATAAGGTCGGGCGTCTCCCCCTACAGGTGGATTTTGGGCGAAAAATTTAAGATACTAAAAAATACCCCAACATAATCAACAACTAATCAAAATATCGCACCCTGACATTTTTCACTATTTTGGAATGTTCCTCCTGTAGAGGGACAGGCCCGACTTAAGCCTAGAACAGAAGTCCTCGTACGGCTTCGATGTTGGGAACAGCCCGCCAGGGAATATGATGCCGTTGACCTTCTCCAGCAGCACGGCGTGGCGGCGCGCACGAGGAGGGCAGGCGGCGGGCGCCAAGACCCCCCCCCAACCTCGACTCCGGAAGGTGCGGGCAGCACGGCTTTCAAGGGGCCAGCCCCGTCTGATCCGGCGGCGTCAACTCTCCACGTCACCTATCCTGGCCAGGCAGACGCTGGCCTACGATGGATGTATATGCCCTCCAGGCTTGGCCCGGGAGGCAAACTCACAGATCCTGGGCCCAGGATCGGTCTGATCAGGTTCGGCGGGATGGCTTGCTGACGTCATCCGCAGCCGAGCCTAAGAAGTCCTGTGCCTTCCAGGAGGATCGCTCCCCTAAAGAAGAAAAAACACGATCCGCGCGGATTTCTCGGATCCGCGCTGGGCCCCCTCCCTGGCGCGCGGAGCGTGCCAGGGGCGGCGCCGGAGGCGCCGCCAGGGGGTCCCAGCGCGCATCCAAGAAATTCATGCAGAGCGCCCCCTTTTGCCCTGACCCCGCCCCCCCCGGGCTCGCCGCCAAATGGTCGTGACGGACGGGGGCGCATCGTAGGCGAGGGGCACGACGTGTGCCCCAGAGGCCTCCAGCCACTTCACGTAGGACGCGGCCATGTAGCTTCGTTTCGGCTGGGAGGGGTGTGGCTTCGCGCGGCCCGAACGGTGGCACGGGCACTCGGCTCGCACATTGCAAGATTACCCCAGCATAGCACGGACTCCGAGGAAACGCGCGAAGCGCGGTGGGGTGTTCACTTTTGCGTCAGCAGCGTACGCGGGAATCGAATTCGGGCAACACGAAGAGCCAGAAGTGCCCTACGGTGTGCTCTTCTGTGTAAGAATCGTGCGCGGGAGTTCCGGCAGCACGAAAGACAGGACGAGCACGGAGAGCACGGCTCTGTGCCCCTTATAATATGTTTTGCCAGAGATCGTGAGTGCCTGAACCGAACATGTAGCCGGCAATGGAACTAGAGCACGATCTCTGAGTATGTAAATCTCAAGCGAAACCGCCGCCAAATCGCTGCCAGGCCACTGCTGGACCGGGCTGTCTTGGGCTCGCCGTCCCCCCACGTGGGACTCGTCTGTAATCTTTTTTGGCTCTATTGGAACACTCTGTGGCGAAACGACATCAGGGAAGTCTCTGAGGTGGCGGGGGGGAAACGGAGGATGAGAAGAAGGAAGAGGTGGAGGGGGAGGAGGAGGCGGAGGAGGAGGAGAAGGTGGAGGGGGTGGAGGGGGAGGAGGAGGAGGAGGCGGAGGAGGAGGAGGGGCATGAGTGGAAAGTGTTGGAGAAGCCACGGGTACACAGTTGGCCCAAGTCTGAAGGCCCAGGCCCCTAAGAGAGATGGGTGGAACACGAGAGACGTCAGAAAACGGCCCGCGAGCGAACGAGGGGCGGAGACCAGCCGACAGAGCGACCGCGAGCTGCGCGGCGAAAAGCGCACCCGCGAGATGGGCGCAACCGGTGCGCCCGCACCGACCCTGGCCAGCCCTGTCCTGGGCCCAGGGCAGGTGTGTGTGTGTGTGTGTGTGTGTGTGTGTGTGTGCGCCCTCCTCGCCCAGCCACGGCGGCTTGCGCACCCGTCCCCGCAGCCGCCACGGTGCCCTTGAGGCACGGGTTGGAGTGTCCTCAGGCAAAGGGTGAAAAGAGGTAGGCGTGCTGGTGGCCTTGCCTCTGCCGGCGCGCCAGTGGCGCGCAGCCCAAATTAGGGTTTAGTGCTTAGGGTTTAATCGATGGTCCCTTCGAGCTCTCCGCGTCGAGCGCCGTGAACATGAGCAAGAGCCGAGACCCCCAAACCGAATCCAAAAGAGGCCTCGGAGAGGCCTCTCGAGATCCCCGCAGGCACCCCGGAGGCCTCCGACCTGCAGTCCGAGGCGCTGTGGCGGGATGGGTCGAAGGCCACCAGGTCCACCGCCCCCCGTTGGCCTGCCACAGAGGGGGACACGGCGCGTCAGACGTTAGGTAGCTGCTAGTCCCTGTACACCCTGCGAAATGCTTTAAAATTATCATGGGTTAAGAAATTAGAAATTCATAGTCTCAGAATTTGAATAAAAACTCAAAATGTCTATTCAAATCTTAGGATTTACATTGAAACATTAAGAATAACCGAGACTCTGGCCGAAAACTTGGGTTTTCTTAAGCATCGCCTAAAGTGTAGGGCTTCTAGTAGGCCTGCGGCCGATCCCGCCGGCACGGAAGAAGGACCTGTAACCTGCCCCGGTCGTCGGTCTTCCCGCTCCAGGCGGGCCTGACAATTTCTCAGTTCTTCGGTCTTCGCGCTGCAGACGGCCCCAGGACGGCCTCCAAGGCAGCCGAGATGGTCTCCGAGACGGCTACGATGGCCTCAATCAGAACACAAGATGGCCTCAAAATGTCTCCGAGACGGCTCGAGATTCATCCAGGACGGCCCAGGATGGGCCCAAGATGGCCCGAGACGGCCCGAGAGGCCCCCAAGAGGCTCCAAGAGAATCTCCAGGAAAGCTCGACGAGATCTCTCCTACTCTTTTCCCCCACATGTTTCCCGAAAGGGTTTCCATAACGGATGGAGGGAACATATAGTCCGACAGTTTGGCCGAGGTCTGGCCGCAACGTCCGGCCACATATGCGCTTCCAGTAGGCAGAGGGCGGAAAGGATTCGCTGTTAGGCGTCTTCGATCCGCCGCCCACGGTTGGCTTGCCACAGGTGTGCACGGCGTGTCAAACGTTGGAGTGTCTTAAGAGGCCCCCAGGACAGTCCCAAGACGGCCAAGGAGACCTCCAAAACGCCCAAGATGGCTTCCAAGACTGCCCTGAAGCGACCCAAGAGAGGGCACCAAGACGGCCCAGAGAGGACCCCAGACTGCTTCCGACGGCGTTAGACTAGCTAGGAGTGCTCTCAGACAGCCAAAGAGCCTCTGACGGAGCCTCCAAAGGCCCCCAAGTGGCCCAAGGAATCCCGAGGAGGTCTGCAAGAGGCTCCCATGAGGCCCAAAAAGGCCCCCAAGATGCTCCCAAGAGGCCTCCTCATCCTCCTCATTTTTCTTCCCTCTTCTCCTCTTCTCCTCTCTCCCCCGTGTTTCCCGAAGGGTTTCCACAACGGCTGGGGGAACACATAGTCCGATAGCTTGGCCGAGGTCTGGCCGCGACGTTCGGCCACGTAGGCGCTTCCAGTAGGCAGGGGGTGGAAGTGGTTCGCCGTAGGCGTCTTCGATCCGCCGCCCACGGTTGGCTTGCCACAGGGGTGCACGGCGTGTCGGATTTTGCCCAGTTGTTGTTAGTCCTCAAAAGTCGGCCGGTCCCGCCGGCCACCACGAAGGCCGTGGAAGGCTCGGAAAGCCGGAAAACTCTCCTCCAAGACCGCCAAGATGGCTCCAAGACGGCCTCCAACCTGCCTTCAAAGCGTCTTCGATGGCTGGCGACCTCCGGCCCGTTCTGGCCGCACGTGGGCTTGAACTCCGGCATGGCCAGCACGCCCACCACCGGGCTGAACTCCGCGCCGCCCCACGCGGGCAGCAGCGCCAGCAGCGCGGCCAGCGGTGCAATCATGTTGCTGTCCTCAGCCGGCCAGCCATAACTGTGGTCCTTACCCCCCTGGGGGAACCAATCGCATCGACGATCTCTCGAGAGGAGTGTCGAAATCGATGGGTCCCCCAGGGGCTAAGGACCACAGCTCCCCCAGTTGTGGCTGGCCTGCTCAGCCGCGGCGGTGCCCAGCGCCCATGCCAAGCAGTGAGGCCTGGCGGCCGCGGGTCTGCGGCCAAGCGCGCCCGAGCCCGATCGCCGGCTCGAGCCGAGGTGGCTTCGGACGTCCGTCTGCCTGCCCGCGCCCGCGCCCACGCGCGCGCCCGTGTCTGTGACCAAAATGTCCACATTGCCGTGCCTGCGCCTGCACCTGCGGCTGCCACTGGGGCTGCGTCGGCGTCGGGGTCGGGGCTGGTGTCTGGGACGAAGCCTCCACGACTGCATCGTCCACGTGCCATTATGCGCGTGTGCGTGTACGTGTCTGTGTGTGTGTGTGTGTGCGTGCGTGCGTGCGTGTGTGTGTGTGTGTGTGCATGTGTGTGTGTATGTGTGTGTGTGTGTGTGTGTGTGTGTGCGTGAAAGTGTGTGTGTGTGCGCGCGTGCGTGTTTGTGTCTGTCTGTGTGTGTGTGTGTTTGTTCGTTTGTTTGTGTATGTGTGTATGCGTGCGTGCGTGCGTGCGTGAGTATGTGTGTGTGTATTTGTGTGTGTGTGCGCGTGTGTGTGTGTGTGTGTGTGTATGTGTGTGTGTGTGTGTGCGTGTTCTTGCGCGTGTGTCCTTAGAGTGTGTGTCCTACCTCAACCTACGCAACGTTCCAGGTTCATCCCGGGCTTGAAGCATTTCGTTGTCTCCCGAGCTGGCCTGGGTGCCTTCTTCAACATTGGCGTCGCAACAGAACTGCGTGCATGTTTTTTTGCGCGAGCTGCACATCACCGGTCGGCATTCAGGACGGTGAAGATGAGGTTGGGTTCCCTGTTTTCCTCTTACGACTCTGAAGGCCAGATCAGGCTTGCGTATGTAAGGCGGGAGTATGCTGTCGCTAGGCGTGCGTAAGAGAATGCGAGGAGTTTGAGGAATGGCTACAAACGCACCATCCGAGTGGTCTAGTAGAGATCAGCCCCCCTTCGCCGTGGACACCGCATGATATCATTCAAAAACCCTGATGGGATCTCTGAACGACGTCTGATCGATGGAGCCCGCCGAGCCTGGGCCCTTTGCGCTGTGCTGTCGCGTGGTCGACATGCGCCACATCCTCACCCATCGGTCCGTTCGCCTTCTCTGTGCCTTCTGCCCCGCCCTCTGCGGGGGCCGACAGCACGCGAGAGTGACCCTGGGCCAGAGTGTGCGGCTCTTTGGGGGGCCGCGGGGGGGCCAAACACAAGACGGCAAGACGCTACCACCGCATCGCGCTCGGCGATCGGGGGACCCCATTGGGGCCGCACCAATGGCCACTCTGGCGAAAGGTCACTCTTACGTGTAGTCTTAGGTCGAGCATGTCCCCTACAGGGGGATTCTGGACGAAAAATAAGGAATAGTCAAACAAAATATCAGACATGGTCAAAAATTCGTCCCCTGGACTATCTTTTGTCTGTTTTTGAATTTTCTCCCTGTAGAGGGACACGCCCGACTGAAGTGTAGTCGAAGGAGGCCCAGCGCCGACGCAAGAGATCTACGCGGACCCCCGACAAACAGGTTCCGCCCGTGCACCTTCTGCATCGGCGACATCGGGATGCCCCAAGTCGGGATCCAGATCGGGCCTCGTCGCCGATGCATCGGCGACGTCGGGATGACCCAAGTCGGGATCCAGATCGCGCCTCGTCGCCGATGCATCGGCGGTGCCGAGATGACCCAAGTCGGGATCCAGATCTGCATCGGCGACGCCGGGATGACCCAAGTCGGGATCCAGATCGCGCCTCGTCGCCGATGCATCGGCGGTGCCGAGATGACCCAAGGCGGGATCCAGATCGCGCCTCGTCGCCGATGCATCGGCGACGCCGAGATGACCAAGTCGGGATCCAGATCGCGCCTCGTCGCCGATGCATCGGCAGTGCCGAGATGACCCAAGGCGGGATCCAGATCGCGCCTCGTCGCCGATGCATCGGCGACGTCGGGATGACCGAGGTCGGGATCCAGATCGCGCCTCGTCGCCGATGCATCGGCGACGTCCGGGATGACCCAAGGCGGGATCCAGATCGCGCCTCGTCGCCGATGCATCGGCGGTGCCGAGATGACCCAAGGCTGGATCCCGATCGCGCCTCGTCGCCGATGCATCGGCGACGTCGGGATGACCGAGGTCGGGATCCAGATCGCGCCAGATCGTCGCCGATGCATCGGCGGTGCCGAGATGACCCAAGTCGGGATCCAGATCGCGCCTCGTCGCCGATGCATCGGCGGTGCGAGATGACCCAAGGCGGGATCCAGATCGCGCCTCGTCGCCAATGCATCGGCGACGCCGAGTGACCCAAGGTCGGGATCCAGATCGCGCCTCGTCGCCGATGCATCGGCGGTGCCGAGATGACCAAAGGCGGGATCCAGATCGCGCCTCGTCGCCGATGCATCGGCGACGCCGAGATGACCCAAGTCGGGATCCAGATCGCGCCTCGTCGCCGATGCATCGGCAGATGCCGAGATCGGATCCTCGGATCGATCGCTCGTCGCCGATGCATCGGCGACGCCGAGATGACCAAGTCGCGATCCAGATCGCGCATCGAGCATCGCAGTGCCGAGATGACGTGGATCGATCGAGCCTCGTCGCGATGCATCGGCGGCGAGATGATCCAGATCGCGCCTCGTCGCCGATGCATCGGCGGTGCCGAGATGACCAAAGGCTGGATCCAGATCGCGCCTCGTCGCCGATGCATCGGCGGTGCCGAGATGACCCAAGGCTGGATCCCGATCGCGCCTCGTCGCCGATGCATCGGCGACGTCGGGATGACCGAGGTCGGGATCCAGATCACGCCTCGTCGCCAATGCATCGGCGGTGCCGAGATGACCCAAGGCGGGATCCAGATCGCGCCTCGTCGCCAATGCATCGGCGACGCCGAGATGACCCAAGTCGGGATCCAGATCGCGCCTCGTCGCCGATGCATCGGCGGTGCCGAGATGACCCAAGGCGGGATCCAGATCGCGCCTCGTCGCCGATTCATCGGCGACGTCGGCATGACCGAGGTCGGGATCCAGATCGCGCCTCGTCGCCGATGCATCGGCGGTGCCGAGATGACCCAAGGCGGGATCCAGATCACGCCTCGTGTCCGCCGATGCTCGGGCGACGCCGAGATGACCCAAGTCCGGGATCCAGATCGCGCCTCGTCGCGACGCCGAGATGACCCAAGGCTGGATCCAGATCGCGCCTCGTCGCCGATGCATCGGCGACGTCGGGATGACCGAGGTCGGGATCCAGATCGCGCCTCGTCGCCGATGCGTCGGCGACGCCGAGATGACCCAAGGCGGGATCCAGATCGCGCCTCGTCGCCGATGCATCGGCGACACCGAGAAGACCCAGGTCGGGATCCAGATCGCGCCTCGTCGCCGATGCATCGGCGACGCCGCTAATTAAAGCTCCCCTCTTGTTTGATCGATCTCCTCCAAGATGGCCCCAAGAAGCGCCCAGGCCCCCAGAGGTCCCAAGATGGCCCCAAGATGGCTCCAAGATGGCCCCCAAGAGGCCCCCAGGAGGCCCCCAAGAGACCCCCAAGAGGCCCCAAGAGACCCCCCAGAGGTACCCAAGCTGCTCCAAGAGGCCTCGGCGAGAATGCCAAATCATTGACTTTACGAAGGTTTTAGCCACATGTTGGCCTCTTTGGGAGGGGCACTGATTAAGATGACTCCAAGAGCGCCTGGGAGAGCCCAAAATGACCTCAACGATGGCTCAATATATCCCAAGACGTCTCACAATGGCTTCCTCTGTGTGCTGCCCACTTCCCTGATCGGGGCAATTCCTCTGGGCATCGTCTCTGGATGGGCTGGTGGGGATTCGCGAAGCGTCAACAATAACAAACACAAGGTTCCTGGAACAGAAACCCGATGGTGCTAAAACAAGACAGTCCCAGCCAGAAATGCTCTAAGAACATTTCGTGGAAACCACGCAAGGTTCTTAGAACATTGTGGTGATCCTTTTGTGGTGAGCGTTCTTTGAGCAGGGACCGACCGTCCTGGCATTCCTATGGTCCTACCACGACGTGTTCTTAGAACCCAGAAATGTTCTAAGAACAGACACAACTTTCTTATAACATAAACCCCATATGTTAAACCAAGACAGTCTCCGCCAGAAGGGCTCCAAAAGAACACCTCGTGGAAACCACACAAAAGGTTCTTAGAACCCTGCCTGGCCGGCCCATAGGCCCGCCGGGCCGCTCCGCCACGGCTTGGAGAGTGGGGCCTCCAGATCGCGCCGCACCGCCGCCGGCGGTGCGGCTCCGACCCTCCGCACCCCCCGGCCGCTGCCGCACCCGTGCGGGAGGGCCGAAGGCCTCACCTGCTGGGCCACGGGGGCCCGGAGCTCTCTGGCGCGAGGGTGTCGTGAGCCCGCGGGGCCCAGATGCGGGCGCTGGCTTGCCGTCGCTCGGGCGTCCATTTCCCGTGCACTGTTCGGTTTCGTGCGTTTTTTTTTGTTTTTGTTTTTTGCTCGATGGTCCAGGATGGTCCTCGACAGTTCTCGCCGAGAAAAAATTCACACGTCCGAGCGATGCCGAGTTGGCAGAACTGCGTTTGGTGGGGCCTGGTTTAGTGATGTGTGCTGGGGGACGCCCCCCCGCCCCGTTGCACTGACCGGAACTGCCGTCGCCCGAAACAACACCAGCTACGGCAAACCTGGTTGAGTGATTCTGGCCAATTTAGGGGCTCTTGGGCCCTACTGGCTATACCGGACAGATCTCAAGATCGCCAGGTCCTTTTCTTTTGGGGGGCACGCCCCCCCAAAGAAAAAGACCCATCCTGTCAAAAGCCCCGGTGCACCCCTCACGCGTTTCCTGGCTCCAAATGAGCTCCACCGGAGCGGCCAGTGCCACCGCCCGCATGCGCCACCTACACCCATTTCGTTACACCCCTCGCGCGCTTCGTCGCTCCATAAGGACCTCCAACGAAAGCTCCGGTGCCACCGCCCACGTGCGCCACACACACACACACACACACACACACACACACACACACACACACACACACACACACACACACACACACACACACACACACACACACACACACACACACACACACACACACACACACACACACACACACACACACACACACACACAAACACCCACACAC